TATCAAAGAAAATTTTTTGGAAGTATTGTTTATTTATTATGAGAGAGAATGAGTGTGGGAGTGGGGGAGTGGCAAAGAAAGATAGAGAGAGAGGGAGAGTTCAAAGCAGGTTCTACATCAGTAGTGCAGAGCCAGATGCAGGGCTCAAACCCACAAACTGTGAGATCATGAGCTGAGCTGAAACCAAGAGTTGGATGCTTAACCGACTAAGCCACCCAGATGCCCCAGAAAAATTTTTTTTCATTTGCAAAAGAGAGTGAGAGTGAGGGAGAGGGGCAGCGTGGAGCCTGACGTGGGGTCCATCCCATGACACCGGGATCATGAGCTGAGCCAAAATCAAGAGTCAGATACTCAACCAACTGAGGCACCCAGGCTCCCCTATCAAAGAAATGTTTTATAGTTCTCCAGCAAAGATCTCCAATGGAAAATTAAAGAGTGGAGCTTTCTCCTATATCTGTTAGAAATCTCTGGTCACAAAGGCATTGTGGTATAGTGTTATTAACTTAGAACTTCTCATCCTTGAAAACTTGAGAGTTAAAAATTTGCTGTCTTAGGTAGAGTGAACAAAAAGTAGTAAGTACATTAAAATTTACTTTCGAAATGTTTTTATTTAAACATGTAGTCTGGTCATAAAGGGACCGGAGGATGGCATGTAATGTCTCCAATGAAATCACACCTGATTCCGTAAGCAATGGTTCGAGAATCCAGTAAAGAGTGCCATGGTCTCACTGTCAAATGTCTTGTCACGGTGTTCTAGATCACGTTCTGGAAACACAGCCTACAGCCAGGGCTCCCACATCTGCTAGAAAAATCACTTGAACATTCTGCGGCAGGTTGGCAATGGCAGTAGAGCTGCCGGTATAAGGACAAGCTTGCGACTGAAAGCCAGTGTGATCTTTCCCAAGACAGAAGGCCTCTAAAGCATCATCCAACACTTGGTGATTGCTGGTTGCTGAGTAAAAATCTTGGAGATGGATTCTATCGGGTCACTTAGTGGAGTCATGACATGGCCAGAGACTAACCAACACAGCAGAATGGCCTCTCTGCAAAGTAGGAAATGTGGTGCCAGGTTCTGGAACTTGTTTTAAGAGGTAATCTTGGATTCTGCTGCACCCCAGGCTATAAGGGGTCTAAATGAGCTCTCATGGTATATGTTATTAAATACCGATTTGGAAACCACCCTCCAGCCCCACTGGTACAATCCCCACTCTACGATGACCCAGAGGACTCCACCCTGTCCACCTGCTGCTGTTTCCATTTTTAGTAGAGTTCAACCTCTGCCATCTCCACACAAGTGCACAGTCACACAGCAAAGCCAAGCTTTGGTTCTCTAGTAACATAATCGGAAAGCCAAGCCTAGTAGGAAACAGCAACCATGGCAAACACACACCCAGCCCAGGCATACATGAAGGAACATGGGTGCTGGGTCCTTGCTGCTAGACATCTGGTAACTCCCCTTTGCTGAGGATCTGTGGAAAATGGAAATGCTGTGCTGTTGCAGCAGTTATTAATCATAAGATTCACTAAGACACTAGGATCTTTGATAAGGCGCTTAACCGAGCTAACGTCGTGTGTGAGGATGTGAAGCCACCTGAAGAAGTACAGGCGATAGAAGTGAAAAGGTCCCTGAGAATTTAGCAGGGGGACGGAAAGGGAACAGGCCCACAGATCTGCAATGAGTAGAACCTAGCATCACGCAAGCTCAAAGGACAACAGTGTCTAGTGGGTCTCAAATTTCTACTGTTGGAGGATCATTCCTTTCAGGGAATGAACCTTGAGAGTCTTTGACTTTACTCAGCTCTACCAGTCATTCCTCCTTCCCTTCCCCCAAAAGGCAGAAGCATGAAGAATTCCATCAAGAGATGAATGGATAAACAAACTGTGGTATACATACAATGGAATATTATTCAGCTTCTCAAAGAAGAAGATTCTGACACATGTAACAATTCTGAGGACATTATGTTAAGTCACAAAAGGACAAATATTATATGATTCCACTGAAGTGAGGTATCCAGAATAGGTAAATTCATAGAGATGGAAAATAGAACAGTGGTTATCAGGGACTGGATGGAGGGAAGGCAGAATGGGGAGTTACTGTTTGTTCTGTTTGGGATGATAGAAAAGTTCTGGTAATGGTTGCACAACATTGTGAATGCACTTAATGCCACTGAACTGTACACTTAAAAATGGTCTAAAAATGGTAAAATTTATATTATGTATATTTTCTCACAGGAAAATGTTTTTAAGTGGGAACCAATGGCTTAACTCTTAAGGAAACAGGGCCAAAGTAATGTTTAAACGACTATTATGAAGTAAATAATTCACAACAGAAATTATAAGATAATTGTAGTCAGGGGCATTGTAAACAGAGTAGAGGACCCATGTTGATGAGCACCAGTGGACCCCAGTCCACAATCTGACCGTTAGTACCTGCATTCTAGACCAATCTCTTGCCTCTGTGGAGGAATAAATGAAACCATTTGGAATCAACATGCTTCATTATTTAACTGAATATTAGAACTATCACAGGCCTTGTGAATTCGGGGCACATATTTATTTTTATTTTTAAATTAATTTATTTTTTTAATTTAAATCCAAGTTAGTTAACATATAGTGTAATAACGATTTCAGGAATAGAATTTAGTGATTCATCACTTACATATAACACCCAGTGCTCATCCCAACAAGTGCCCTCCTTAATGCCCCTTGCCCATTTAGCCCATCCCCCCATCCAACACCCTGCTAGCAACCCTCAGTTTGTTCTCTGTATTTAATTAAGAGTCCCTTATGGTTTGTCTCCCTCTCTGTTTTTATCTTATTTTCACTTCCCTTCCCTTATGTTCATCTGTTTTGTATCTTAAATTCCACATATGAGTGAAATCATATGGTATTTGTCTTTCTCTGAGTTATTTCGGTTAGCATAATACACTCTTGTTCCATCCACATTGTTGTAAATGGCAAGATTTCATTCTTTTTGATCGCTAATATTCCATTGTGTGTGTGTGTGTGTGTGTGTGTGTGTGTGTGTGTGTGTGTGTATGGATATGGATATATAAAGCACATCTTCTTTATTCATCTGTCAATGGACATGTGGGCTCTTTCCATACTTTGGCCATTGTCAATAGTGCTGCTATAAACATTGGGGTGCAAGGCACTTATTGTTTAAATGAAGACCCAGTTCTCACTGAACAATCCACCATAACAATGGAGTATAAATAAAGTAAGACCTCTGCTTAAATATCACATATAAAAGTATCTTCAAAAGTATCTTCATTTTGTGAAGGTAAGGATATTATACAAGTGAGTGACCTGGCCTGATCATTCAGTAGAGCTGTCTGTCTTGTCCATATAAACTTTGACTTCATTTGCTCTTCATTTTGTGCATCATTTCAGATGAGGCATGATGTTCTGGAAGAATCATAAGAATTTATCTAGGTGAGGCAGGAGTGGCTAGCCAATTCAGGTTGTAATTTTGTCTGAAAATGTCACGGTTTTTGAGATTTCTTTTAAATGTATTCGACAAGTTGCTTTAAGAGATTCATAACAACTAATATATAATATAATGTGTGATCTGAACTGAACCCTGGATCAGAATTTGGCAGGGCGGTGGGGGGGCAGGGTGGGAGTTACATTATAAGGATATTATTGAGAAAATTGGAAAAATATGAGTTTGGTCTGTAGATGAGATAGTAGTATTGTATCAATATTAATTTCCTCATTTTGATTACTATACTATAGTGAAGTAAGAAAATGTCCTTCCTCTTAGAAAATACACACTTATGAATTTAGAAGGGGCATTTTACTCTCAAATCTGCAACTTACTCTCATATAGTTCAGAAAAAAAAAAAAATATATATATATATATGTATACATATACATAAATCTCAAGAGAAAATTATAGGAGAAGCAAGATAAAAGAATGAGGAATAGGAGTAAAGGGTATGGAAATTATCTGCATTATTTCAAACTCTTCTGTAAAGTAGTAAGTAATTTCAAAATTAAAAATTTCCAAAAATTTTAAGTTCATTTAAAAACTCATTCATCGGGGAGTGCCTGGGTGGCTCAGTCAGTTGGGCATCTGACTTTGGCTCAGGTTATGATCTCATGGTCTGTGAGTTCGAGCCCCACGTTGGGTTCAGTGCTGACAGTTCAGAGCCTGGAGTCTGTTTTAGATTCTGCATCTCCCTCTCTCTCTGCCCCTTACCTGCTCACACTCTGTCACTCTCTCTCAAAAATAAATTTAAAAAAACATAAAAAAAAATTATAGGGGCTCTCTTCTCCTCTCCTGCTAGTATTCTGTCTACCAAAAATAAATTAAAAATTTATAATAAAAAATTATAATGAAAATAATTTTAAAATTATTTTTAATAAATAATTTAATATAATAAAATAAAATATATTAATTTATAATTAATATAATAAAACGTTTTAACTTATAAAAAAAAACACACAAAAAACTCATTCATCTGAGCTCCTGGGTGGCTTAGTCGGTTAAACATCTGACTTCGGCTCAGGTCATGATCTCATGGTTTGTGAGTTCAAGCCCCACATCAGGCTCTGTGCTGACAGCTCAAAGCCTAGAGCCTGCTTCGGGTTCTGTGTCTCCCTCTCTCTCTGCCCCTCTCCTACTCACGCTCTGTATCTCTGTCTTTCAAAAATGAATAAATGTTAAAAAAACACATTTTTTTAATTAAACATAAATAAAAACTCATTCGTTGTGCTCCTATGATCTAAAACAAAGCCCAATTAATACAGTATTATAAGTTATGTATCTTGATTAATTTTAATATTATATTAGTAACATCACTAAGCAGGAAAACACACTCCTTCAGTTCTATGTGATTATAAAAGCATTAAAATCCCAAGGTTCAAAGGGAACTAAGAGATCAAGCAACTCAAATAAACATCTGTGTTTCCCAGTGTAACACCAGAAAAGATTAAATAATGTGAAGAGAATGCAGGGTATGAATCATGAATCAAGCAAGAAGATGTTGTTCTACCTTGAACTGCTGTTGATCTCAGCCCAGCCCAGTTTCCATGACACATGAAGCAAAAGTCCACCAATTAACGTCTGCCACCTGAAAAAGACAAAGGCCAATGTGAATTTAAGAGAGTGCCATAGTCTCATATGCCATCCAGACCTGGCAGAGCTCCTGGCTGACACAAATATACACATCCAAGCCTTCCTACAATTCTTTTCTCCCATTCTCTCCTAACTAGCATCCCAGGCCCCTCCTTCTCAACCTGTATTATTCTCGAATCCAGCTGTACCATTCAGTGCTGACACTGATATTCTTCTCCTCTTATTCTAGACTTTTCCTTAACAACCTCCCCCACAGTCCCCACTTCTCCCATCATCCTTGAACTGATGATTTCCAAATCCCTACGCCCACCCGGATACCACCACCCTGACACCCCACAAGCACCCAATGATAACGTGCCTAAAACGTGACCTTGAATTTCCCTTCCTCATGCTGATTTTCGTCCTCTGCCCCTAATCAGCCAAACCAGAGCCTAGATGTCATCCTAGCTCTTCTCTCTTCAGTCACCTCTCTCATCTGCTCGCAAAATCCTATTGAACACATCCCCATAACAGTTCTAGAGTACCAAGTCTTCTCTTCCCCACCTCTTCTGCCTCTGCCTAATGCAGGCTCCCATCGTGGCACTCCTCAACTCCAGTATCAGTCCCCAAACTGGTGTCCCTATCGCCAGGATGGCCTCACAACTTTCATTCTCTACCTGCAGCCAAAGGGCTTGTTCTAGAAGGCAAACTTCATTTTGCCACTTGCTTGTTTTAAAAATGTTCGATTTGGGGTGCCTGGATGGCTCAGCCATTTAAGAGCCTGACTTTGGCTCAGGTCATGATCTCACAGTTTGTGAGTTCGATCCCTGCATGGGGCTCTCTGCTGTCAGCACAGAGCCCACTTCAGATCCTCTGTCCCCTTCTCTCTGCCCCTCCCCCACTTTCTCTCTCAAAAATAAATAAACATTTAAAATAAAAAGGCATCATTTCTTTAAAAACAAAACAAAACAAGGGTGTCTGGGTGGCTCAGTCATTAAGCATCTGACTTCAGCTCAGGTCACGATCTCATGGTTCACAAGTTTGAGTCCCACGTCAGGTGAGCTGGAGCCCTGCTTTGGGTGAACACAAGCCCTGCTTTGGGTGAGCACCAGCCCATTGGGGTAAAAACATGAATCGTGCTTTGGACGAGCACCGCCTCTCTCTCTCTCTCTCTCTCCCTCTCTCCCTCTGCCCCTTCTCCCTCTGCTACTCGCTCACTTGTGCCCCCCCTTTCTCTCAAAAAACACACAAAAAAACTCAAAACACAAAATACAAAATAAAACAAAACCAGTTGATCGATTCTTCCCAGGTGGCCAGATGCAGTTCCCAGTCTCTTTTCTGCCATAAGACACTTGGGATCAAGTGAGACATTCTTCCTCTGCATGCAAAGTACAAGGGGAGCACAGGTTATAAAATAAGCACCCCTGGGGCACCTGGGTGGCTCAGTTGGTTAAACATCCAACTCTCACAGTTTGTGGGTTCAAGCCCTGCATCAGGCTCTGCGCTGTGTGGAGGCTGCTTGGGATTCTCTCCCTCCCCTCTCTCTCTGCCCCTCCCCAACTTTTGCTCTCTCTCTCTCTCTCTCTGAAAACAAACTTTTAAAAAAAATTTAAATTAGCTAACTAATTAATTAATTAAGCACCCCTGCCCTTCCCACTGTACAAAGCACAGCAGACTTCAAAATGAGTGAGAGGGTACTACAGGCAATAACTTCACCCTGTTTCACTCTAATTGCTTTACTTTAGGTGAATAATTCATAGATTTCAAAACCTTATTTTTAGTTATGACTTGAGACACCTCACCACGGAAGTGATTACAACACACCCATGTGTTGCTACACAACAGTTGAGAACTGCTGGCCTACGGGTATAAGGTCACTTGCGAGTGACACACAAGCCTTCCTGGACAGGCACCCACCCCTCTTCAGGCTCAACTCCGGTGCATCTGCCACGGGCAGCTACATTCCAGCCATACTGAACAGCTGACAGCCTCGGGAATGTGTCAGGTCACTTTCTACTTCTAGGAGTCTCCACATGCTGCCCTCTTGACACATCATGTTCTCCTACCTCTTTGTGTGTCGGTGAACACCTGCTCGTCCTATTAGATCCAGTTTTTATGCCTCCTTTGTGAAACCTTCACTAACCCAGCCAAGCAGAACAGACAGATATGGGTCATGCCCTCCAACAGTGTGACCTAGAGCAGTGGCATTCAACCCGTATGATTCTTCCCCCTAGGGGACATTTGGCAATATCTAGAGACATTTTTGGTTGTCACAACAGGGGGTGGGGGAGGGGAGGGTTGCTAGCTGGCATCTGGTGAGTTGTAGCCAGGGACTCTGCCAAACATCCTACAGTGTGCTGGACCAGCCCCCATAACAAAGGATTACCAAGCTCAAAATGTCAATAGTCATTTGAGAGACAGTGGCCTGGGGCAGGGTGGGGGAGGGCGCCACAGTGGCTCAGTCAGTTAAGCGTCCAATTTTGGCTCAGGTCATGATCTCACGGTCCGTGAGTTGGAGCCCCGTGTCGGGCTCTGTGCTGACAGCTCAGAGCCTGGAGCCTGCTTCAGATTCTGTGTCTCTCTCTCTCTCTGACCCTCCCCTGTTCATGGTCTGTCTCTGTCCCAAATATAAACAAACATTAAAAAAAATTAAAAAAACCCAGAAGTTCATATTCTTTAACCCAAATTTCTTATATAGGAATCTATTCCAAAGAAATAGCTAGAAATTCGACAAACTTGGATACAAAAATATGTCTGACAACACTATTTTTATACCCCCAAAATGGGACACAATTTAATGCCCACTAATAGAAGGACTAAATAAATTACAGTATGTCTATTTGATAAAAAAAAAAAATCTACGTAGTCATTAAAAATATTTTAAGGAACATTTAATGATGCTGGTTGGACATGTCCCACATATGTGTACAAAGAGCATAAAAGATACTCACCCTTGGAATAATGTAGGGTAGGTAAATTTCAAGACAGACAGGACATACTGAAAAACAAAGAGCAGATTAATGGACATTTTCAAATTATAGAGAATTGCTAGACTGTATAATCAAAGAAAGCCCTATTGAAGAAATATAAGTATACTCAAGTTTCAAAAAGGCTTTTACCCTTCCCCCCAAAATCATACATGGGAAAAAAAAAAAAAAAAGACCTTCCAAGTCATACTAAAAAGAGCGGGTCTTTTTTCCCCAGGGTCGCCAGAAGCCTAACCACCTCTTGGTGGGGAAATAGAACTGGTATCATCAGCAAATTGGGCCGCACAGCAGCTGGGTCTGGTGCTGTGGATGTCCAACAACTCAGTATCTTCCCAGGCCTCAGGGGAAGTCATGTTGGAACTGCAGTAATTCAAGAAAACCGGACAAACCCCTGGACGCACTCTCTTTTCACAGGGTATCTGCTTTATCTACTGTCCAATTTACCTCAAAATCCAACCCCCTTCTTTGATTCTCTTCAAGCAAGAACCGCATCCTAGTGTTTATTTCCTTTGTTTTCCTTCCATTTGGGGGCATTTGGCTTTTGCATTCTACAGGTACTTTTTTTGTTTTTTGTTTTTGAACTAATACTGCTTAGGCATCATACCTTTCCCTGTGCTTTAGCATTTTAAGGATTTTTTTTTTTTTAAACCAACTTGGCTAAGGTCAACAACTTGTTTTTCTATTATGTCTTTTATAACACTTTATGAAACGGGACTGTGTTTTGTCTTTCTGGATATCTTTTCCTATTTTTCCTACCATTGAGCACTAAGACTTTTTGTAAAGTTTAAAAACCATTAAAGGCTCTAGGCAAGGACTCTACTGATTTTTCACATGATGTAAAAATAGAGTGGACTGGTGTTAGGCAAATTTACATACCTATTTTTTCCCCTGGATTAACCTATACATAGGCCTCCTAGTGTGAGCTCCTAAATGTCACGATTACAGCTGCCTGTGCTCTGTATTTACTTGAAATGGACCTTCAGGGCCCCGGGGTGGGTCGGTTGGGTGTCCGGGACTTTGGCTCCAGTCACGATCTCACAGCTTGTGAGTTCAAGCCCCTTGTTGGGTGCCCTGCGTCGGGCTCTGTGCTGATGGTTCAGAGCCTGGTGATGCTTTGGATTCTGTGTCTCCCTCTCTCTGTGCCCCTCCCCCGCTCATACTCTGTCTCTCTCTCTCTCTCTCTCTCTCTCTCTCTCTCTCTCAAAAATAAATAATAAGACATTAAAAAAAAAAACTTAAAAAAAAATGGACCTTCTTCTACTCTGAAGTCTGTTTATTCACATAGGTCAATAGGCTCCTTCCCACTTTTCCCTGATATTTTCATTCTAAAACAGAGAAAGGATGAACAAGTGAGCATCTGGGCCATGCGCTCTATCACCCTAAACAACCCTCTTGAAGACAGCAAATATTTATTTAGTTTAGTGTATGCTGGGCTTTGTCCTACATCCTGGGGGGAGACAAAATGCTGAAGCTCTTACCTGACCTTGCTAAAGAAGAGTGACAACAGTGAAAAGCGAAATCTCTGACAAATGCAATCTAAGTCCTAATATTCATTCTTTAGCAGTTCCTCAGGCCACTGAAAAGTGTTGCTCAGAGCAAAAGGCTATTCAGTGGAACAGCAGTGAGCACTTCTCATGGAAAAAGGAGCAATTTGGGAGTCTTTGAAAACAGATGTGGACGTTGTCCCCAGGCTGAAAGCTTAATAGCTGTGAGGGGAAGAAGGGCTGGTGGCTGCCTGGGCCCTAAGCCTGGTTGCTGCCAGGACCTCCCACAGGCTGGAGGAACACCTCAGACACGAGGTCAGGAGAGCCAAAACACTTGCTGTTCAAACTAAAATCAACCGTTCTTTTAACACTAGAAGGGCTAGGCCTAAAATAGACAAGAGTTTTTTCAATGAATTTTCTTTTTTTGCAAATACAGGGGGAAATAGAGGAGAAAACTACCCTGAGAAATAGGAAAATTAAAAAACTAGCATGGGGCGCCTGGGTGGCTCAGTTGGTTAAGCATCTGACTTTGTCTCAGGTCATGATCTCATGGTTCGTGGGTTCAAGCCCGCATTGGGCTCTCTGCTGTCAGCGCAGAGCCTGCTTTGGATCTTCTGCCTCCCTCTCTCTCTCTGCCCCTCCCCTGATTGCTTTCTCCCTCTCTCTCTCCCTCTCTCCGCCCCCCTCTCTCTCTCTCAAAAATAAATAAACATTAAAAAAATAGCATAGAGTCTTCTAAAAACTGGAAGAGTGGATCCTATCTCTAAACACAAAATAATGTTCACTAATTCAAAAGAAAAATCATTTGGCAGAGATTATATGCTGGGGGGCTCACTGCACAGTTCCCTTCTCACTTGGCCCCTATTTGGTCCAGGCCAACCTGTTATGGCTGCCAGAAAGAAGCACGACTGTCCTATTTGAAACAATGGCATCATCTAAGAGCTACAAAGTCCCTACCATAGTCCCATTATGAACAACTACCTCTCCCACCCCTACCTGGGCCTCACATCTGCCTGCTGCTACTCTTGACTCCATTTCTTTCCCCTTTGTACAGTCTCCTCCCCTCCCCTTCCCTCTGCCTTCTGCTGTTACTCTTCTGCTTTTGATCTGCTCCAACACTCCCAAGAGCCCTAAACCAAAGCACTCCAAACCATCACGGAAAATGGAAAAGGATTTGTTGTTTAAGTTCTGAGGGTCCTTGGAAATCTACAATTTTTATTACTCGGATTAGATATTCCTAGAGACAAGACAGTTTGGCTTCTTTTTCTCTAGCACCTTGAAGCATGATGCACATGGAAGGTAATCCATCTTTATAACATTGACTATAAAATGGTGAGGGACCCCAATAAATATAACAATAATGCCACAGATGCCAATGTGCATCCAGAGGGGGTATAAATTTCTGTGAACTAAGTGTTATCTGCCTGCTGGATTGTTTCGCTTAGATACTCTGTTTTTTAACCAATGCCCGCCTGGCTCATGGGTTTTCATGAAAGACTTGTCACTCTTCTCCGTCTGATGATTATATAGAAATAAAAGGAAGGTCATTTTGTTTTTAAGTGAAATATTAGCAATATGTTCATCAGGTTAACTAGACAAATTAGAATAGTTGAATGAAAAGGCCAGGATTTCACAAATTCACATATTCTAGAAAAGGTGCTAAAATAAATCTTTTAGTTTAGCTTCCTGTGAGGAAGAAACAAATCTGTTAAAAGCTAATTACTGGGTCACCCCATATGCAAAAGATTGTCTTTCCTTCCTTCTAGAGTAATTACCACTTACCTTATTTACCATGATATTGGGCACTTGGCCAGTCAACTCAGTAACATCATTTTGATTAATCCTCAGAACAGACTTTTTGAAAAGGACTTGTTAATACTATCTTAAAGTTAAAAAACTTATGGGGCGCCTGGGTGGCACAGTCAGTTGGGCGTCCAACTTCAGCCAGGTCACGATCTCGCGGTCTGCGAGTTCGAGCCCCGCGTCGGGCTCTGGCCTGATGGCTCAGAGCCTGGAGCCTGTTTCCGATTCTGTGTCTCCCTCTCTCTCTGCCCCTCCCCCGTTCATGCTCTGTCTCTCTCTGTCCCAAAAATAAATAAACGTTGAAAAAAAAAAATTAAAAAAAAAAAAAGTTAAAAAACTTAGCTTTAGAGAAATTTAAGTCCCAAAGACCAAGCTAAGTGGAGCCAGGATACAAACCCATCACTGTCTCCCAGGAAGGCAGTATTAATGGATCTTCAAAGGCCCATCACCGAAACGAAAAATCAACTGGACGGGAGGAAGGATTCTGACAGGGTTCTGGTACATCACCTGAGTATTCTGAAGACAGTCCTCACGTTAAGAGAGAAGGTATAAGGAAATGCTATTGGTTAACAGTCCTTTTCCAGAGAGCAAGAGGGGTTTGGGTTTTGAGGGGGATGGGCAGGGGAGACCCTACAATGGGGGAAGGTGGTCCTGGGCCTGGTATCCCCCACTTTGTCTTGGTGTCCAGCCAACCTCTATGACAAGAGGGGATGATGCCCCACCCTAGCCCTCAAAAGTGTAACATTTCCCTGTGTGGTCCTAATCCAAGGCCAGCTTCTCCCTCCTAACAAAATAAAAACATGGCACCACTGCTTTTCTGGATTTTCATAAAAAAGAGTTTCATGACATTACTTTAAAGAAAATTAAATTTATAAATATTTTATTTTCAAAAATAATTCCACAAAAAACTCTTGAATATAGTGGAAATGTCTGGGATGGAGACATATTTTAAAAAGGACTGCCAGGGCGCCTGGGTGGCTTGGTCGGTTAAGTGTCCGACTTCGGCTCAGGTCATGATCTCATGGTCCATGAGTTTGAGCCCCGCGTCGGGCTCTGTGCTGACAGCTCAGAGCCTGGAGCCTGTTTCAGATTCTGTGTCTCCCTCTCTCTCTGCTCCTCCCCTGTTCATGCTCTGTCTCTCTCTGTCTCAAAAATAAATAAACGTTAAAAAAAAAAAAAAAAGGACTGCCAAGGGTACCTGGGTGGCTCAGTCAGTTAAGCCTCTGACTTTGGCTCAGGTCATGATCTCAGGGTTCATAGTTCCAGTTCCACATTGGGCTCTGTCTGTGCTGATGCCTCAGAGCCTAGAGCCTGCTTCAGATTCTGTCTCCCTCTCTCTCTGCCCCTCCTCTGCTCTTGCTGTTTCTCTCTCTCTCTCAATAATAAATAAACATTAAAAAAAGAAAAAAAAAAGATGGGCTATCAGTGGTGTGAGGGAAAGATGGATATGGAAATGGATTGATCTCTTCTGTTTAAAAGCTTGGTTGGGGGGAGGGGGGTGGCTGTCTGGCTCAGTTGGAAAAACTGACTTGAGCTCAGGGTAATGAGTTGAGTCCCATGTTGGGTGTAGAGATTATTAAATAAATAAAACTTTAAAAATTAAAAAAAAATTAAAATTAAAAATAAAAGCTTCTGGAACCATGTGGGTTTCTAGGGCAGGGGCGTGTTTCAGAAAAAAAGGCAGGATATGTCAGATTTCTTCTACTCTTCCTGCCGCGAAAGAACAAGAGCCAATTGCTTTTTTTCCCTGAAAAGTAGTATGCACAACCCAAAATTAAGTTCCTGGGAATTCACCAGTCAAAAAATTTGGTGTCCTCTACTTACGCTCTCTTTCTTTTCTCAAAAATAAATAAACATTAAAATAAATAAATAAATTTAATTTTAAAAAATTCGTTGTTCCAGGAAATGTAAAGGATGCTTTACAGGACCGGAAAGAGGGCCAGTGCAGTCCAGCAAACCCTATTTCTAAATGAGCATTCCACACAGAGTCGGCTTCCTCTCCACTACTATCAGGAAAAATCAGGTAAAAAGCTGGAGGCTGCATCTGTTCCACGTACGATGTGGGGGCTCCGATCTCCCACGTGCAATCATCGCCACCCCGCGCCCGCCCCCCTCACCTTGTTCGTGAGGTAAGACGCCAGGTAGCAGGTACAAAAGGTAAGGCCCACCAGGCACCTCCTCACGCACATCGGGCAACGCGCGCCCCTATCCGGGAACCCCGCGGCAGCTCCGCGGCAGCCCCCGAAGCAAGGCCACAGCCACAGCTGCCAGGACAGCCACGTGGCTCCAAGCTCGGCCAATCCGCGCGGGGACCGCCCCTGGCGCCTGCCTCTTAAAGGGACCCGGCCGCCGCGGACCCGGCAGCTGCCCTGTGGGCGAGGTCGCTCTCTGCTGTCTTGGGAGGTAGGGGGAGAAAGATAGCCGGGCCGGGGCTGAGACCGACCCCACCGCCTGCGGGGAAAGGGCGGACACTAGTCCCTGTAAAAAAAGTCGAAAATGGCAGACAAGGGGAAAAAAGCAGTATACAAAACAGTTCACGACATTGCATTACCGTTTAAAGAAAAATGTTCATAGCTGTCATCTAAACGATGGGACGAACATGTTTATATGCTTTAATGAATTTGCCCTGTTTTCTACACCGGGTCTGTATTACTTTTGCAAACGACACCAAAAAGTTAATGATAAGTGTTATTTTATTTATTTTTTAATTTTTTTTCAACGTTTATTTATTTTTGGGACAGAGAGAGACAGAGCATGAACTGGGGAGGGGCAGAGAGAGAGGGAGACACAGAATCGGAAACAGGCTCCAGGCTCTGAGCCATCAGCCCAGAGCCTGACGCGGGGCTCGAACTCCCGGACCGCGAGATCGTGACCTGGCTGAAGTCGGACGCTTAACCGACTGCGCCACCCAGGCGCCCCAATAAGTGTTATTTTAAAAGAAGGAAGCCTGAGGAGCTGGAATGAATGTAGTTGGTTTTTTTTTTTTCTCTCTTTTTTTAAGAGAAGTCATTCCATTGTGTTGAAATTTACATAATATAAATCCTCTTGAAAGTGGAGTTTCAAGCACAGCCCCTATTCCTAGTATATAGGTTAGAAAATTTACCTAGTTAGGTTTCTGGCAAATAGTAGTAAACATACATGAAACGTGTTGATGGACTTTGTCAGGAACTAGAGGTACAAGTGTTCCCCACATGCACAAACACAGATATTTAGAAATACCCTGTACACCAGGAAACCTTCACTTTTTAAAATTTGTATTCCTTGGGGCGTTTGGGTGGCTCAGTCGCTTGAGCCTCTGACTTGGGCTCAGGTCATGAACTCGCGGTTGATCTGTGCTGGCAGCTGGGAGCCTGGAGCCTGCTTCAGGTTCTGTGTCTCTCTCTCCCTCTGTCCCTCCCCTGCTCGCACTGTCTCTGTCTCTTGCTCAAAAATAAATACAATTTAATAATAAAAAATTAAAATTTGTATTCCCTGTGTAAAATTGCTTATCAACTATAGTATTCAAGCAAACACCAGATGTATTATCTCTACATAAAAGATAAATAAGAAGTAATTTTCCCCTGACGATATTTTAGGAAACCTATTTCAGAGCTATATAGTCCTTACAAAGAAAATTTTTGCTCAATAAAATTTCTTTGAAATCAGTAGTTGGTACTACTTGGTATTCTCTGAGTACTTTTAGTACATGAACAGGTTCAGGTGGAGCCCTATTATTTTCTAGTTATTACTTAACTTATTTTCTTTGACAGAAGTTGCTTAACAAGCAGGAACAACCAGAACAATAAGGAACCACGCAAATAGAAGCTGAAATTTGTAGCAAGAGCGCTGATAGATATTGCCAGAGCCATTGATTTTTCCAAAGCTGCATTATTCTGTTTCACAAAGCAAACTAAACTAAGATTAGATGAAAATAAAATCATCAGGTCTTACACTGACACACAACAAGCTGCTACATATGAGATTGAGGTTAGACCTTCTAAACACAAGAAAAGATATAACCACTTGTATTGTTAATTAACATCTTTGAGACCAAAGGGTTACAGTTATAAATTTACTTTTTTATAATGGATCCATAAGTGCTCAATAAATGTTTGTTAAATAAGAAAAGACAGGAACTTGGATAAAACAACTCCTTTGGGGGTTTTCCCAATGAATCTTTTTTTAATAATGATTTTTTTTGACAGCTCACATGGGAGAATTCTCAAAGGATGGCAGAAGCAGCAGCATACATTTTTAAACCTAAATCCCACTTTAAAAGTAGACAGAACATAGGGGCGTCTGGGTGGCTCAGTCGGTTGGGCAGCTGACTTCAACTCAGGTCATGATCTTGCTGCTGTGAGTTTGAGCCCCTCGTCCGACTCTGTGCTGACAGCTCAGAGCCTGGAGCCTGCTTTGGATTCTGTGTCTCCCTCTCTCTCTCTGCCTCTTCACTGCTCAGGCTCTGTGTCTGTCTCTCAAAAAATGAATAAATAAATGTTAAAAAAAAAGTTTTTTAAGTAGACAGAACATCAATATTTCTTATGAATATGGATGCAAAACTTCTCAACAGAACACTAGGAAATGGAATCCAGCAACATGTAAAAGGAGTACGCGCCAAGACCCACAGTGATTTTTCCCAGGAATGCAAGATTTGTTTAACATGCAAAAATCAATTCATGTAATATACCATATCAGCAGATTAAAGGACAAAAACCACATGATCATCTCAGTAGAAATAGATAAGGCATTGGACAAAATTCAACACCTTTCCATGATTAAAAACACTAAAGAAAACTGGAATAAAAGGGAATTTCTTCAATATGATAAAAGGCATCTGTGATAACCCCACAGCTAACATACTTGATGGTGAAAGACATCTGCTTTCTTCCCTAAAATCAGGAGCAAGACAAGGATGACCATTCTTGGCACTTTTACTTAACATTATATTGGAAGTTCTAGCCAGAACAACAAGGCAAAAAAGTAAAATAGAAGGCAATATCTTTGGGGGGGGGGGGGAACAACTCTCTCTACCATAGATTTTGAATATAAAAGATTTTGAATATAAAAAAATCCTGGGGCACCTGGCTGGTTCAGTCGGAGGAACATGTGACTCTTGATCTCAGGGTTGTGAGTTTAAGCCCCACCCCACTGGGTGTAGAAATTACTTAAAAATAAAATCTTTAAAAAAAAAGAGTCATCAAGGATAGAGTGATAAGGTCTAATATACATTTAATATAAGTTTGATTAACAAAGAATATAGAGAATGTGAAAGAGGCACTTTTCACAGAACTAGGATAGAGAATGAATCCTCAGATACAGTAGAGACAATGAATCCTGAGCAAACTACATGAAAAGAAATCCACTTAGCCAATTTTCATATTCAAATACCATATTTTGATTGTAGCAAAAAACACATGACATAATGCCTTATCTTAACCATTTTTAAATGCACACTGCAGTAATGTTGAGTATATGCACATTGTTGTGCAACAGATCTCTAGAACTTTGCATCTTGTGCAATCGAAACTCTACCTATTGAACAACTCCTCTTTTCCTGTTCTCCCCCAGTCCCTGGCAAACATCATTCTACTTTCTGTGTCTTAAAGTTTGACTAATTTAAATTTCTCTTATAAGTAGAATTAAATACATATTTTTAATTAAAGATTATTCTCCTTTTATTTATCCTTATAGTCAGAGTATTATATCAATTTTTAAAATAGTATGCAGTAAAGGAAGCAAAACAAAGTATTTGTTATTAAAAAATGGCAATGGGGGGGCGCCTGGGTGGCTCAGTTGGTTGAGCGACCGACTTCAGCTCAGGTCACGATCTCACGGTTCATGAGTTCGAGCTCCGCGTCAGGCTCTGGGCTGATGGCTCAGAGCCTGGAGCCTGCTTCCGATTCTGTGTCTCCCTCTCTCTGCCCCTCCCCCATTCATGCTCTGTCTCTCTCTGTCTCAAAAATAAATAAACATTAAAAAAATGGCAATGGGTTCCATAGGGTTCAGAATCATTGAATCCCAACCTAACCCAACTGACCCATATCCATAACACTGCACTCTAGTAACCTTATCTTTTTTTTTTTTTTGGATTTTATATTTAAGTAGTCTCTACACCCAACATGGGGCTTGAACCTACAACACCAAGATCAAGAGTTGCATGCTCTACTGACTGAGCCAACCAGGTACCCCAAGTAACCTCACTAAATATACCATAGACTATTCCTGTCCCATGCCTTGTCTTATACCATTCCTTCCCCTGAAACTAACTTTATAGCTTTCTCCAATCTTCATGCCATAGTTTGGTGGCACCTTCTCCATGCAGCCTTTCCAGATCTCACTAAGCCACAATGAATCCTGAAATGTTCATTTTCTATAGCTGTGATTTGACAAGTAATCATGCACCCTTTTGAGATAGAAGTGTTGTGTTATTTAATGTTGTGTGAACATATTATCTTTCCAACTATATCTTGTAGTTCTTTTTTTCTCCCACAAGGCTTCAGAAGTATCGTAGGCAGTTAATAAATATTTGTTGGTTGCCTGAAGCAACTACATGCAAAATAGACTTAACTAGTTTCAATATTAAAGACTAAAGAGTTTTATATCTGCTCTCTTTACTTTTTTATTAATGTGTTTTGGCTAGGCTCCATGCCCAATATGGGGCTTGAACTCACAACCTTGAGATCCAGAGTCACGTGCTCTACCAACTGAGCCAGCCACACACTCCTGTTCTCTTTAGAGACCAAGAATCTGCTGATTCCATGTGTTTAGGCAGTGCAAATTCTGGAATAGCTTTGTCTCTGCTGAGCACCAGTGAGTTTATCAAAAGATGATAGGGAGTAAATCTGGAGCTAAATGCTTTAAACGTTGTGCTTATTCCACTTCACAGAGACATGGCCATTCAAGGACTCATTCTTAAATAACATAGGACTACATGCTGTTGTTAGTAAACCACACTTTTTATAGTAATAGTATTTATAAATGTGGACTGTAAACTTTTTCAATGCTGTACATTTCACCCTATCTTCCTTTTTAAGACGTACATGGTTGGTGGCACTAGGGATATACCTTAAATCATTAAATCATTAAAATTGTTAACCCACAAGCTCTATTCTAATGTGAAACTCCATCCCATGGGGAAAAAACTTCCCTTATCCCCACAGCCTGCCTTCTCTAAAACTTGAGTGCCCTCTGAGACTACTCATCTCCGTCTGGTGTCCAGGGCAAGGAATAAGGGTCATCATTCTTTGCTCTCTCCAGAGTAGCTCCCAAAACATTATTCTGTACCAG